CTTGGATGATGATCTTTATTTTTAAGGGGACAAATGTCATAAGCGGTGTAGGTATAGATTGTCTCTATGTTGTGCCTGGGTGAAGAACTACCCTCAATGTCTTCGTTTTAAATCATTGACAAACGTTGTTGCCCACTGATCCCACATGGGATGGCCATCTTCCTTAAATAGACCCCTCTGGGTAATGCCTCTGCAGGACCCATGAATGACCTACATTCTGCACCTGCTGTTTCTGGGGGTGTGTCCCAATGAGCGAAGCAGTAGGAAGATGGCATCAAAGTGAATGGGAGGCATTCATGTAATCAGTACCCCAGGATGAGAGCCCTCACTTCTCCTGGATCAGGATATGGACCCACCTATGGGATGCTGGAATTCATCTGAGCTCATTCTGTGTTCAGTGTGAGAGTCTAAGTGTGTTGTGAGAACTACCAAGATTTAAAATAATTGGTATCTGCTTTCAAGGATTCTATTTCCCTATAAGGAGATGGGAGAAGTAGAATGTATTAAATACCTTTCAAGTATAAAACACAGTATTAAAGAAATTCATAAGAGAAAAATAGGTTACTTAACAGCTGTGGAGAAAGATGAGGAGCTTGCTTTTGGATCTGTTGACATGAATTTTTGGCAGGAGATGACAGGCTAGAGAAGAGAATCGGGAACAAAGCAGTGATTGCTAGAGACCTAAAGCTGGAAGATCTAATGGAGGAATAATTTATGATACTTGACCTAGCTCTTTTCACAGGGGTGTCTCCTCTTTTAGTTTTTTCAGAAAGTCAAAATATAATAGAGATAGCTTAGACCATATACTGTTTCCTATGTTTTTTTTTCTTTTCTTTTTTTTTTTTTTTTTTTTGGTCAAGATTAAATACAATAAATTTAAAGTGACTACCACAGGATTGCCTGGGTGGCTCAGTTGGTTAAGTGTTGGGAGAGAAAGTTAATAACTCACATATCACATTCAACTGATTTCATGCAAGTGACAGATTATATTTATTTAAAGATATTTGGAAATTTAGGGGGACCTGGGTGGCTCAGTTGGTTAAGTGTCCGGCTTCGGCTCAGGTCATGATCTAATGGTTTCTGGGTTTGGGCCTGGCTTTGGACTCTGTGCTGACAGCTTGGAGCCTGGTGACTGCTTCAGATTCTGTGTCTCCCTTTCTCTGCCCCTCCCCACTCGTGCTTATGCTCGCTCTCTCTTTCAAAAATAAATAAACATTAAAAAAATATTATTTAAGTATTTACCACAGGTATTGGGGGTTAATATGTAATTCACAAAGTTTGAGGCAACTCCATTGGAGCTAATAGAGTTCAGTAAGGTTATCAGTTTTAAAATAAACATATGTCCACAGATTTGCAAAGTGCAAAAACAGAGTCATGGAAAAACAGAGCCTATTTTTTAAAAAAATGATCCTGTTGATAGAAATGAAAAGTAGTTTGTTGGCTTTATTTTATTCCTTATTTCCTTATAAATGTTGGAAATAATCCTGATTCAGATATGGAGGACTAGAAACAAACAAAACAAAAAAACTGAGTGGCAAGTTCTACTTCTGGGTATAATATCACAATGATATCACAAGCCTGGGTAGGAAAACTATTGATTCTTAATTTTTACAATGTTCAGACAATCCCAATAAGAATTCTAAGAGTTCTTTTGCAACTTGACAGAGTAATGATGAAGTTTTTTTTCTGGACTAAGAATGAATAAGCCCACATTTTAAGGAGATGAAAATGAGCGGGTGATGTACTCGATATTAAAACATTCTAATGCTACATTAATTTTAAGTGTGCATTAGACCAAAAAATGCCTAGTCAAGTTAAACGGAATAGAAAATTGCAAACAATCTCCAATACAAAATTATTTTATGAAATGATAGTTTTTAAAATTAGTAGGTGGATTAGTCAGATTTTGACAAAACT